CCATCGATGTGGCATGAAGAGTGGTCTGCAGCTGATGTCAGAAACCAGTCTCTTATAACTGACCTGCCCACACACGTCCCTGGCTTCACCACACTGCCAGTTTTGAATGGGCAAGGGTCAATGTGCGGCCAGTTTTCATACCTGGGACTAATGAGAAGATTTCCTATGCAGCTGTGGCTGAAGACAGATGGACAATGTCTCATCACTGACGACTGCCCTCTGACCAGATTTGATGGTGGTTTTAGGGCTCTGCACTTTGCTGATGCGGCTACCACAAATTAGCTTGGCAAGCTCCACATCCAATATGAAGACATTCATAATGTGGGCTTCATTTTAATAGATAAATTGTCACACAAATTACTTTGCCATCACATAACTTCCTTTTAGCAACTACAGCAACTGCTTACATGGAAAAGTAACATTTGGAACATATTTCATTTATTTAGAGCATCTTTTAATGCAGTTTGGCAGCTAGCAATAAGGCAGAGGAGCCAGTACCAGGTGACCAGCCAGCTGTCTGTGACTGGGGCAGCAAGTGCCCCAGGTTGAGAACCACTGGTGTAGGATAATCTCCATAAAGTAACATTTTTAGGGATTAACATTTTGCAGAGTTCAAAGTGAACACAGATTATTTTTGCACCATATTATTCAATAAATATAAAGTACAAAGAGATCCTCAAAACATGGCACAATTGGGAACTGCTGGCGGAACAATATGAAAATTAGTTTAGGGAAAAGAAAGTTCCAGTGGGATACCTTATACATGCTATAGATTTTCTTTCGAAAGGGTTCTTACTACCAAAAAAAAAAAAAAAACCCAAAAAATCATTTTTCATCATTTGGGTGGATTTTGTGTTACTTTAGGGAAAGTGATGTAAATGATTTACCATCACTGTAACCAGACCACCCACTCAGGAGTGGGAGAAAAAGTTTAGGCACTATAAATAAAGTTGAAGTGTGGCGTTAGTCTATACTTTGTAATGGCTGTAATAAATAGAGCTCTTTGTTGGCTTTTGCGTAGTTGCCGTTTAGATATTATAATAGTAATAATACTAGTATAATGAGCCCAATAACTCATTTAGAAACCAAGGAAATTAAAAAGGAACTTGCATTATGATGAGTTACACTTTAAGCACTAAACAGCTAATTCCAAGGTACATATCAGACCAGTGTAGTGTGATAGGAACACTAATGCAATGAATACTGGAATAAGTACCTAAGAACACCTGGGTCACACAAACTATGTAATAAAGTGGTATAACATTCCCCCAGGAGACATGTGGCAGAAAATTATTTACCTCAGCAATGGCCCTTTTTAGGATTTTATGCTCATGTATAGGGATTTGTAATAACTACTATATCAGACACAATGTTGCTAAAAAGAAACCCTTTTAACTCAAAAGAGGGCTTTTTGCCTCACTATACCTTATTTTGGATCTTTCTGTCCCAAATCTGGACAAAACAAAGGCCGTGTCATTTGCAAAATGGATTTCATTCTGGGGTACAAATAAGTGGTGGAAAACAAACATCATAAAAATGGAGTCAGTGGGAAGATGTATGACTGCATACAAAGACCAAAAATGATGGTGAAGGACTTGAAATGGACCTTCCCTGGAGGATCTCTCCCCCTTCTTCACTGGGATTTGTGTTGGCAAATTGTGAATTTCCATAATCTAAATGCATATCACATGCAAAACCATAAGACAATTTATCTGTTTCTCAAATCATTATGCCTAAGCACCAAAAGATTCACCTACCTGTTGGATGTGGGGATCATGAGAGCCAATGTGTTGATGAAGTATCACGAAGGGCAGACTGCAGAATGCCATTTCATTTTCATCATTTTGTACATATTGTGTCATGAGTGTTGTCAGAGTCTCTAAGTAGGACACTTTTGACTGTGGGGCCCACAATACATCTCTCCCTTTGAGCCTCATCTTCATGTCTCTTGGGAAATGTTGAAAGGAATTCTATTTGTGGTAGTATATGCACATCTTACCCTTGTATCCTGTATGATTTTGCCATTTTAGGCCTCATCTGTTGGTGATATTGGGCATAACATGAGGGAGAATGCAATCCCCATAATACATAACAGAGCATTTAGGTGATGTGTGGTAAATTGGATGAATGTTTCCTGAGAGATACCACATTGTCATGATGGCAAAATTAGCACTGCTTTATATTTGGTATGAAATAAATAATTATAATTTAATATTAATAGTTCATATTTATATAGCACTTTTCATGTGCATTGCACAAAGCCCTTTACGAAGATGGCTCACCATTAATGTCCTCATTTTTCAGATGGAGTAACTGAGGCACAGGAAGTTAAGTGACTTGCTCAAAGTCATGTGATAAGATAGTGGCAGTGCTGGGATTTGACTCGATGAATCTTACTCTCTAAGCGTTGTGTTCATTTCAATAGACCACAACTACAGAACATAGTTGATACTGTTTTCCTGAGGTAATCAGCCTGAGATGTAATTAGTGGAAAGATGAAGGAGATTTACACTGCATGGGTGGGCACATAATTACTGAATACTACTGGGATAGCATTGTTTATGCACTCAAGGAATCAAGGAGCCCATTTACCAGCTGGAGTACTGGGCCTTGAACCAAGAGCACAAATTTACAGCAAGCATGCTCCAGATATGGGATTAGCTATTAGTTACCAGAGGGAGTGGGACTCAAAGCCAGCTTCATAGCACCAGCTTTTTAGGGGAATTCACAAGAGGACTCTAGATTAGATCTATTGTCCTGCTGATGCTCAGTGATCCACAAAGTTCAGGACACCCCATCCCCACATCCCTAGAGTAGGTGAAGCACATGTCAGTAATGACAGTGACCCAGCCAATATACTAGTTAGTATAATATTACTGGTTTGAAAGGGAGATGATTAAAAATTCACCTGTTCCCCACCGCCTACTAGCTAGATGGTCCACAAGACATTCCTAATTCGTTATCTCTCCTGTACCTAATTATAGCTTTGGACTGCAAGCTCTTTAACATTTCATTCTCTGCCCTTTGTCTTGTAAACTTTACATGCTTTAATGCACCCTGTACCCTCTCCAGTGCTAGAAAAACAGCATTATTAAGTGAAGAACTATATCAGGGGAAAGTCCTATAAATCTCTTGACTAATAGGAGGCTAAAAGCTGCACAATTCAAATATTGGAAATCTACTTTCAGATAATCTGGCAACTTGTTATAACCAGTAAACAGTTACTAGTTTTTCTTGGTATTCATTATAACATTAATCATGGTGGACCCTTGGGACAATAGTGTGGTTTTAATATGCATGTCTATGGGAAATTATTTAGCAGAACAAAAATAACAATTAATTATGATGTCAGAGAGGAAGTCTACCAGTCTCTTATCCAAAAAATTTGTCACATTCATTGTTTCCATGGAAGCATATAATGTTTGAAACCAAAAATCACAAAGAATGGGGCCTTGTATACTGTGTTCTGGGTGCCTGGTTTCCAAATATGCTATAATATAAATAACAACTACATCCAAACCAGAGGGACAATTGTGATCATCTCCTCTGTGCGTGACACTCATTACATATTAAATTACACCAGGTGGGTGTACAGAGAGAGAGACTGTTCTAATAGCTGCAAACATGAAAGGAAATATAGTCAAGAGCAGACATACTCAAACTTTGCACTGCTGTGGGCCAAATTAGCAGTTTGCCCTAGGGTCTCAGAACTATGCCTGCCTGGCATACTCATTGAAACCAAGATTTTAAAGTATATCTCAGGCAAGTAGGATGCCCAATTCCCATTCATTTTAATTGGTTGTCCAACTGCCTTAGGCAGTGTTTAAAATCAGCCTACAAGTTCATGCTTTTAAAATCAAAAAGAAAGGTGCACACAGTATATTTTTTAAAAGCTTCTAAGTCACTTAGGAGCCAACGTCCTATTTTTTAAAAGTGAAGTACACACTTAGGAGCCTGACCTCTAGTCTGCACTTAAAGTTTTACTGGCATAACTATGTAGGTAAGGGGTATGATTTTTTTACTGACATAAATGTGTCAGTAAAAGCCTTAGGCCTGGTCTACACTAACCCCCCAAGTCAAAGTAAGGTACGCAACTTCAGCTACGTGAATAACGTAGCTGAAGTCGACATACCTTACTTCGAACTTACCGCGGTTCAGACGCGGTCCACACGCGGCAGGCAGGCTCCCCCGTCGACTCCACGGTACTCCTCTCGTTGAGCTGGAGTACCGCAGTCGACGGCGAGCACTTCCTGGTTCGATTTATCGCATCCAGACCAGACGCGATAAATCGAACCAGGAAGTTCGATTTCCAGCCGCCAAACTAGCGGCTAAGTATAGATCAGCCCTTAGAGTAGACACAATTATACTGTAAGTTGTTTTATACTGATATAGGTTATTTTGCTTCGCCAAACCAGAATAAGTTATACCAGTATAAGCACTTTTATCCTAGTATAATATCATCTGTGCTAGGGCATTTTTGCATCTAACTATGCCAGCATAGTTATAGAAGTACAACTTTAAGTGTTGACAAAGCCTAAGTCTCAATGAAAATCAGCAGGACTTAGGCTGCTAAATGACTATGTCACTTTTGAAAATAGATGCTTTTGGACATTTTAACCTCAACCTTCATATCTGCTTGTACTTCTGCCTTCCATGGTAGATGAGTAGAAAATTCCTGATTTAGTTCACAAGCCTTAAAAATATAAGAACATACATAAAAACAGCCATACTGGGTCAGACCAATGGTCCATCTAACCCAGTGCCCTGTCAAATCTGCAGTCAATGAACTTTGCCATCATCCTATGGTTCAAGGGAGCTAGTGGTAGGATACATTTAAGGGCCCAGGTAGGATGCCTTTTGAACTTCCCTGCCCTAAAGGAATCTAACAGCACAGTTATATCCATTTTTTCCTTTACCTAAGAAGAATGCAGACTTATAAAAAAAAAAATTAAAGTGACAAAGCTTAAGAAATAAAACATTCACAGTTCTGTTCTCTTTTCCTAATCTAAGGGCTGCTCATCTGAGTCACGTTTCTGTGATGCCAGCTGACGCGCCATCCTCTCCTCCAGCTGGAAAGACATCAGATCTTTCCTGGTTATTATCCCAACAACTTGGTTCTGTAGGTCAACAACTGTCAGGTGGCGAAGCCCCAAGGTCCGAAAGATGATATATGTGCGTTGCAGAGAGAAATGAGCCTGAACTGACACCGCTGATTTGTTTATGTACGGTTCCTGCAAGACAAAGAGAGAGAAGGTGGGGGTTGGAGAAAATAAGTGTGTAGCCATTCCTGTTACAGCAGGCTTCCTGAGTGGTGCGGGGTGAGATTACTACACTTTCTTTTATTTCAGCTGTACCCAAATCAGTATAAAGTACACAGTAATGAGCCCTTTCTTTTCCACTAAAAGATCAAGTTCACATTAAGCTGTTATGACTGGAATATACCCAAATCTCTCAGGCTGGAACAGCTAAGCTGAGCTCCATTGATATGGTCTGAATTCCTGTTTGGAAATAGTAAATGATCAAGTATTTATTAAGTCAAAGAGATGTTTAATAACTGCTCTCTCATTATACAACCCCATTTGTGACATCCTGTAATATTCTTTAGTTAATATTAGTAAAAATCAGAAATATATACTGCATGAGAGAGAACAAAGAAAAAATATATACAATGAGGTCTGCTGGGTGCTGAATGCTGATCATTGAATCCCACCTTAGACATAAATGTTTCTAGATTTAGCTAAAGCTAATTTGGTAGGTTTCCAAGGTAAATATTGGTATTTTAAGTAGGTGTTCACCAAGTTTCTATATCTTACCTATCCATACAGCACCCTACTCATAACTTCTATCCTCAAGTGCATATGGGTGCACTGGGAAATCAGTGGAAGCTCCCCACACCCACCTGAGGATGGTGTGTCTTGTAGTCTCTCCAGGAATATTTTTGGATAGTGGGTAGATTGGAACCAGAGGAGAGAGAGCATTCAGATGTCTTTTAAAAATATTTTTTTTAAAAAGGACTAATGAAGGACAAGATCCACCCAGAAAGTACTCGGAAGTACAAATTGAACCTCACTGCAACAGGGAGGCCCTCAGCAGGATTCATCCCCATAGGTCAGCTTGAATTCTGACCAGGAGCTCTATAGGAGCCTATCAGCTAAGGCCATCAAGAGGTTGCTGCACTGAATCAGTGCATCTCTCAACTGCCTGGCCCATACCCTCACCCCAGCCATTTCTGGCCTCTAGGCCACCTGGCAAAGTGAGGTTACAGCCACTTTGTCCTCCACAAACTCCTCCATAGTAGACTTTCCACCACCAGAGACTCCATGCTTTGGCTTATGTGTAACTTAAGGTTGTATTTCACCCAAAAGGCCCAAAAGGCAACACTACAAATACTTTCTCAAGCTCTTTCTACAGGCATTTTTCTCCCAGTAGCCCTGACCTGCTATTGTGGCTATTTGCCAGAGGTTTTTTTTCTGCTATTATGAAACAGATTTTCTTGCTTCCCATTGTCAAACTTTTGACATTTCTTGGTGCAAAACTGACTAAAACAGTGTGAAACAGACAAGGTGTGACATAAAAAATGCAGACACACCTCACTGATTAACCTCATAGGGAAATCAGCAAGAGTTGGTTAGTAGTTAAGATTAAAGCTCGGTGAATAATGCACTTTGTGGTTTGTTGGGAATTTTGAAAGGCTGAAAAAAATTGTGTCATGTCAAACAATGTTAATTTCAGTAACAACATTTTGTTTCAGTTTCAGCCTTTTTATTGTTTTGGAATTTTAAAAAAAGAAATTTTGAAAACATTCTTTCAAGTAAAAATATAGAATATAGGTTCAATTCAAGTAAAAATATAGGTTGAATAATAATATACTCCTTAGTATTCTTTGGTCTGGTCTGCAGTCACTTCACCTCTCAAGGTGTAATCTAGTCAAATCTCACAAACTAAATAGGGCCAATATTGTTTGGGAGACTAGCAGGGAAAACCCAGAGGCTGCAGGAAATTAAAATCAGTATCATCAAAAATCCCAAGCAAAATCTTGGACATATGTCTTTGATGAGCCAGTTTAATCAGTTGTAAGGAATTTCTAATTAATGAATCTACAATGAAGAAAATGAGCAACTACTTTTACCTTCACATTTCTCTACTATTTTGAGGAGCAGATAACTAAATGTGTAAAAACAAATATGAAATTCTTTAAATGTTTCAGAAGTAGAAAGCTCACAAAAGAATTAGTGACTTCACTGGATCACCAGTGGATGAAGAGAGCAATTAAGGAAGATAAGGACACTGTTGAGATGCTACAGTCCTACTTCTTGTTCAGTCAACCGCGAAGACAGACAAGTTTGTTTACATTTACTGGAGATACTGCTGCCTGTTTCTTATTTACAATGTCACCAGAAAGTGAGAACAGGCGTTCACACGGAACTTTTGTAGCCAGTGTTGCAGGGTATTTACGTGCCAGATATGCTAAACATTCATATGCCCCTTCATGCTTCGGCCACCATTCCAAAGGACATGCTTCCATGCTGATGATGCTCATTGAAAAAAATAATGCGTTAATTCAATTTGTGACTGAACTCCTTGGGGGAGAATTGTATGTCTCTTGTTTGGTTTTACCCACTTTCTGCCATATACTTCATGTTATAGCAAACTCGGATGATGACCCAGCATATGTTGTTCATTTTAAGAACATTTTCACTGAAGATTTGACAAAAACGCAAAGAAGATACTAATGTGAGATTTCTAAAAATAGCTACAGCACTCAACCCAAGGTTTAAGAATCTGAAGTGCCATCCAAAATCTGAGAGGAACAAGGTGTGGAGTAAGCTTTCAGAAGTCTTAAAAGAGCAACACTCCGATGCAGAAACTACAAAACCCGAACCACCAAAAAAAAAAATCAACTTTCTGCTGGTCGCATCTGACTTAGATGATGAAAATGAACATGCATTGGTCTGCTCTGCTTTGGATCATTATCAAGCAGAACCCATCATCAGCATGGACGCATGTCCTCTGGAATGGTGGGTGAAGCATGAAGGGACATATGAATCTTTAGCGCATTTGGCACGTAAATATCTTGCGATGCCAGCTACAACAGTGCCATGCGAACGCCTGTTCTCACTTTCAGGTGACATTGTAAACAAGAAGCGGTCAGCAGCATCTCCTGCAAATTGTAACCAAACTTGTTTGTCTGAGCGATTGGCTGAAGTAGGACTGAGTGGATTTGGAGGTGCTACAGTTTAACGTTGTTTTATTATTTAATGCAGTTTTTTTACATAATTCTACATTTGTAAGTTCAACTTACACGATAAAGAGATTGCACTACACTACTTGTATTAGGTGAATTGAAATATACTATTTCTTTTGTTTTTTACAGTGCAAATATTTGTAATAAAAAATCAATATAAAATGAGCACGATACACTTTGTATTCTATATTGTAATTGAAATCAATATACTTGAAATGTAGAAAACATCCAAAAATATTTAAATAAATGGTATTCAATTATTGTTTAACAGTGCCATTAATCGAGATTAATTTTTTTAATCACGCAATTAATATTTTAATCGCTTGACAGTCCTATAAATTATACATATGCATTACAGGTTGTAAGTTAACTGTATCAACTCAAAAAAGGGACCTGGTCTTCGCTGTAGACAGCTCAATGAAGACCTGTGCTTAATGTGTAGCTGTGGTTAAAAAAAAAATAAAGCTAACAAAATGTTGGGATGCATAAGGAATGGGACATGGAATAATACAAAGAATATTATAATAATTTTATATATATCAGTAGTATGGCCTCATCTGGAATACTGTGTGCAATGCTGGTCAACCCATCTCAAAAAGAATACTGCAGAACTAAAGGGGTGGGGGCGGTCAAAGAAGAGCAGTGAGAATGATCAAAGGCCTGGGGAAACTCACAAATGAAAAGAGATTAAAAAGACAGATTGTTTTGTGACACTTTCTCAGGATGCCCAAAATTGTAGGTTACCATGCGTCTACCTCAGTAAGAGAGATATTTGCTGGTTCTAAACTCCCTGTTAGCCCAGTCTGCTGACTATCCCAGACAAATTTCTCAGGACTCTGATGGCCCTTACTTTGCTTTGCAGGTAATATGTGCAGGTCCCAAGCCCCTGGAAGATCATTCTCCTGGAGTACCCAGCCCCCGTCACTGGACACTCACAAAAATTACCAACTTCATAGATTCTAAGGCCAGAAGAGACCACTGTGATCTAGTCTGACCTCCTGCATAACACAGGACACAGAACTTCCCAAAAAAGTTCACTATCTCCAAAGAGAGTGTGCACACCAGCTTGTTTGATTCAACTAATTCACATTTTGCTTAATATTATAGCACAGAGATCTACTCATAAAACACAGAAGTTTATTAACAAAGACAGAGATTTAAGTGATATAAAGCAAGGATAATGGAAACAGAATTGGTTACAAATGAAACAGAAGTATAACACACTTCTAAGAGACTAAACATAACTTTAGCAAGCTACGATCCTTTGGCTAAAGCCGTTTTCTTACCCTCCGAGTTTTTCTGTAGAGTTAGCTGGTTTTCAATCAAATCCGGATCCAGATTTTCATGATTTTCCCTACTCCTTACCAGGGGTCTCCTCAGTAAATAGATAACAGAATGTTCTTTTGCTTCTCCTTATATTTCCCAAGGTTCATAGGGAGTTTATTCCCAGAGACAGGGTGAACCGCTGGGGTTCAGATTCCAGTGTCTTCCCAAGCTGAGTTCACACACCCCTGTCAACCTGGCTTTTCCTGTTGACTTCCATGCAAAGGTAGTTCCCATTATATTTGGCTCCACAATGCTCAATTTACATTAGAAACAGGGAGATAACTACCTTGTCTCCTGTCTGGGAGAAAACCTGTTTCTCCTTTTGTTTGGTTACCGACTTTAAAGCATAATATCAGTGAGTATCCATAATTCTTCATATAGTATTAACATATATGTTTCACAATGATATTAATGACCCTTATGTTACCAGTTTTCATCTGATACCTTACAAGACACTCTTTATAGGTAAATACTATGTCAGCAATGTGTTAGGCATAGTGAGTTTGTCAAGCCTGTTAAGAGTAGCTGTTACATGACAGTGAACCCTTTGCCAGTTGGCACTGAGGGGCTCTTAAGGTCACATGTTTACTTTGGAAAGGAGAAAAAGAGAGGACAGCATAAGATAATGATATCAAGAAGATAGATCAGGAACTTGTGTTCTCCCAATCCTATAGTATAATACAAGAACAAGTGAACATTTAATGAAACTGAAAGAAAGGAAATTCAAAACCAATAAAAGGAAATATGTTCGCACCCAATGTGTGATTAAACTGTGAAACTCATTGTCGCAGGAAGTCATTGAGGTCAAGAATCAAAAAGAGATGAGACATGTATATGGACACCAAGACTATCCAGAGTTATCAGAATTAATAACAAAAATTTAGAAGGGATATTAAACCTCATGCCTCAGGGTTTAAACCCATCTCTAACTATTACAGATCAGGATGAGATCCATGTAGGAGGCAGATTATCCCAGAAGGGAAGCAAGGTGCTTACACTTTCCTCTGAAGCACCTGTTTCTGGCCAATGTCAGAGACAGAATACCAGCCTAGATGGACCTCGGGTCTGACCCAGTATGGCAATTCCTGTGTTCATTAGGATCACTACAGTGAACTCGAGCAGAGCTCAAAATATATATATATTTTTTTTTAATAAAAACCCTCTAAGTCAGTCCCAACTCTGAATTTCCATATGTGCCACATTTTATCTGTGCCTACTCTGTGCATTGTGAACTCATTGAGGCAAAGACTGGCTATGTTTAATTATTTATTTATTTTTCTTAAGCCTTGTACAGTGCACCAAAAACTATAATGTGCTTGGGCCCAGTATTCTGGTGCAGTATTTAGGAAATAAACATGGAAATGCTTTATGTTTGCTTTATAATGCTAAAGGAGCCAAATGATGACAGTTAAATGATCTATTCCATTAATGTTGTATCTTTTGGTCAATCTGGAATGTATTTTAATCAAAAGCCCCCTTGAAATGGTCTCCTTTGTTGTATTTTCTTGTTGGCTCATTTTATCAACATCTGTTACGTTTATACAATATGAATTAAAACTTTGGAATGCTCTTTGTACTCGGCTACTTTTGTTGAGAGTGTAACGTCCCAGGATTGGCAGTGTTTATGTAAGTCAGTGTGGCTGACACAGCCATCATAAACAAATGAGAAAATATAACAAATACATTGTTCATGGAGGAAATGTTTGTTTTTAGAGTTGGCTTCACTCTTACCAGATTGATGAAGAGTTGCTGATACTGAGGATCTGTACTGTAGCGGTTCAGCAGCGTGGTCATCTGTGGTGGATCAGGCAACTTCTCCACTGTTATCTGCAATAGGCAAGATTCTATTTCTCCTTCCAAACCTTTCTAATTTGACTCTAAACCATATGATGGATTTTCATCTGCATCCTAATTTACTTTTACCAATCTCATGTTTAGGATTTTTAAATCCTTTCTTCGTTTTGATAAATTAATAGTACTTAGCTATTCTATAGTTCTTTGCACCTTCGTTATGCATTACCAACATTAATTAAACCTCATAATTTGCAAAGGTGATTACACTCACAAAGCTAAATATTACCTGCCCCATTTTACAGACAGGAAACAGAGAGGATTGGAGTAGCTGATTTAAGGACTGTGTCAGAACCAGGATTAGAACACAAAAATTCCTGGCTTCCACTCCTGTGTGCCTCCCAGAGTCTGGGCTGCTCCAGGAGCGCCTGTAACTTATTTCAGTTTTATTTGGCTGTTTATGGGCTGCCCTTTTATTTAGTTTATAATTGTACTACTTATTTAACAACATATTAATAACTATTTTCATTCCTAGTACAATCCCTGGACATATCAAATATGCATCAATTAACAAAAGGGAGAAATAAAGAAAAGTGATTACCTTTTGGTAGAGGAGAAGAGGACAGCAGGAAAGAGAATCATGGTTAGTCTCTGTTTCAAAGATGGCTTCATGTTCCAGCAGCATGCATAGTTCTAACCTAATTTTTACAAGGAATACATTCACCATCAAAGCCAAATTAAAAAAGAGCCAACATAATGGATTATAATCTCCAGAAACCAGTGCCTGACAATGCTAAAAATATACAGATATGATGAGTCTAATATTAGTGGGCAATACATCATTTATACAAAGCAAGTTTTGCTTTCCTAGATTTCCAGCAAAAATCGTGTCTCTCTCTTCGGGTTTCAGTGTGGTGTGGAACTCCTCCCAACCCTACATTTTTTGAAAATGGATTTATCCCCTCTACATTTTTATTTTTTATCTGAATTAATATGATTGGCAAGAACTGCTTGTGTAGTCTATCTAGTTTGTTCCAATCAAGTCATAATTGCAGTTACAAAGGGGGTCAGGTTTGTCATTTTTTTTGTATAGATTTTTTCAGTTCCGCCTTATGTCCACATTAAAGCATGAGACCCATGTTTGTAAAAAATGTTCAGACTCATTGTGTTTTAAATAAGGAGTGAAATCCTGGCACCCAATTACTTCAGTGGGACCAGGATTGCACCCACAATCTGTGTGAGACATCAATCTTTGCTGTCTGATTAAATTCAAATGGCCATCTTTATCGATATATGTAAAATTTGTGGCCACTGAGATACACGTGGGACACAAGGAACAGCAATCACACAACCTTTAATTAGGAGTTCGGCAGGGAAGAGATTGAAATACAAGGTGACTTGTCTAAATGGAGAATGAAGAATTAGGATCAAAACTCCAGTTCACAAGTTATTGTTATAAACTCCCAGTGTTCTCAGAGTACAGAGTCTATGGGAGCGTAATATGCTCCCATACACAGGGTTCAAGATGGAGACCCAACCTCAGATCCCGCACTTCCAGACAGGAACACTATCACCCCTTTCTAGTGAACCTTCTGGATGACAGAAGATGAGGCACTAACAGGTTCCCAGAGGGAGGAACATCCAACTTTCCTAAGCCAGAAGATGATCAGAATGGCATGGGTCCTTCAAAGCTTCTAGCAAGCCTCCTGGCTGGCATAAAGGAAGGCTATAATAGACTCCAGCAGGAGGAACATCCATCTCTCCCCAGCCAGAAGGAGAGTCACATGTCTGGTGCTAGTGGGGGCAACTAATGGAGGGGGATCCACCTATGGAGGGAAATGATGACAGAAACTTCCAGGATATATATCAGTGCATAGCTCAATTTGTAGACAGTAGGAGAAATTTAAATAAAGGGGGACTATTAGGAAAAATGACCAAAAATATTTAATGAATTTTAAAATGAAAAATATGGGCAATATAGTGTTTTTCCCTCTGATTCCTGGGACTTTTTATAAAAAGGGGGGAGGGGGGGAGAAAAATGCATGTTGCCCATAGTAGCTAGGGACGTGACCAAGTTACTAGTTTTGGTTACCTGGAAGTAGGTTAAAGAGGGATTTATGCTTTAGATGAATATACAGTAACTAGAGATTTGCTGATCCAGTTTAACAGTGATTCAAGCTGTTCTTGGTGCACTCAAGATAATCTCCAGGAGAGCGTGTTTCTCAATCTTGTGTTATGGCAGGTAATGTGTTGGGTGTATATCAAGAACTTAAAATATTGCAAAAGAAAAAAAAATCTTATTTCATTCAAATCTGAAAGAATATGCAGCAATATACAACACATTAGAATCACTTTCCTGCACACTGTCTCAATTAGCTACAGTATTTATTACAATTTAATACAATTTATTTCTTCTCTTCTATTTGTTCAGTATTTTGAAAAACACTTGTCATCAAACCTTTCTGAAATTTAAAATGAGATATTTTGCCCTTCATCCAGGGCTCTCAAAGAGCTTTAGGATTATTAAGCATCCCTGTAACTGGGACATATATATGCCCTTTTCACAGATGAGGTACAAAGAGATGAAATAACTTGCCCAAGGTCACATAGGAAATCAGTGGCAGAGCCAGGTAGAGGTCCAGTCAGCTGCTCCAACCATTAAACACACTTTCCCCTCCCAAGAAAAATGAGTAAATAACTAACATAGCTCATATTCACTACTGCAACAAAATTACTCACTCCACATCCCCCCCAAACAACCTTTTTTGGCACTGACATTTTTAAAAATCACTTTCACATTATTAATGAGAGCAAAGCTCTGAGGCAGCCCTCGGTTTGTACCTAACTAATGCAGTTATAACTCTTGATAGACAGTTGTTTCTGAAGAGCAGCCAAGTACTCTTCCCCAAAGCAGGTACTACTCCTGATATGTTCACTGCAGCAGGGGACATGTACAAGATGAATATCCAGTAATGTAGTATGTCTTGTCTTTAATGTATTATGCCCTCTGCTTGCAAGGATCACCTGTTCACAGTTATATTTATTGGTTCACATTATATAACATTTCTCACAAGCCTCCAAATCACATTAAGTAACTGTGAATTATACACCTGGGCCAAATTCTGCCCTCAGATATTCATTTACAACTACTATGGGATCATTTCATCCACCACTGAAATGCAGCCACCTTCAGGGAGCAAAACTGTATGGCTTATCTCTGGGCCAGAATTCTATTTGTGGCTTTCAACAATACATTGCTATACAAACTAGAGATGGACCCCAAATGCAAAGTTCTGATCCATAGTGGTACTTTTCCAAAGTCTGGAGGTGTTCATATCCAGGATATGGTTTGAGCCTGTCCATCATACAAACCCTTTTGTTTTCCCACTTTAACAGTGTCTGACTGGAGGAAAAAGAAAGCAACATTTACCATGAGCTTAAAGAGCAGAAACATTTGCTCATCATCAGTGGTTTCATGGCTGGTTTTGGCAGCTTGCAATTTGCTCAACACTGTTCTTAACTAAACTCAGTGGGGAGTCACTTAGCAGGACTTTGAGAAGTGAGAGGAATTTGGCTAGTCAAAAAAGGCACACAGAAACACAATGAAGGAAATTGTTGGAACATTTCTGATAAGAATCCAATCCTATTAAAGCCTGCCATATTCAAGAGAAAAATGAGCGTACATTATTGGATTTGGGCCTCCAGAAGTCATGCGTTGGAGGTATAACAACATCACTCTTTGATGTTACACACAACATCCTTCCTATCACATCATCAAGCCTTAGAAAGAGCAGACCAAACATGTTCCTTGCACTATTTTTTGGACTTAACAGGAAGTGCTAGGATTCAAACTTGGACTCAGCAATTGTTCGTTTACTCTTTGTTTATTTAAGAAGGAAGAAAACCCTTAAGTAATGAATCTCATTTCAAAGGCACTGTTGTAGTTTTATATACTATATCTGTTACAAAACATGCATCATGAGGACACACATAATTAAGATAACACATTATTATCACAACCTCCAAGTGTCACATTCAGCATGATACTCAGGAATTAAAAGTATCTGACAACTTAGAGTGTCACCCTTTTCTTGTCAGAAAAGCCCATTTATCAGAGGAAACTGCAAATTCTGTGCATAGGGGGAGTGACATAAGAGGAACACAAGCTCAAAAGTAGCTATAAATACAAAGACAGTAGATTAAACAATCCTATCACTGGCAAAACCGTTCAGGGCATGATTCTTTCACCATGAATGCAAAGGATAGCCATGGAGTTTATTGAGAAAATTAGAGAACCTGGAGTATTTGTTTCAGTTTGTTCACTGATGTTTAAAACCCATTTTTTCTGCATTAATTCACCAAAGATACCTGCACTGCTTCTTGCGTGTGTATTTTGTTTCTGAAATTTTATTGTCTATGTGTGGCTTGATATGGACTGTGAATTAATGTGCGTCGTGTATGAAGCAGAGCACAATGAAGGAACTTAATATAATTATCCCTCCATCTGCAAAAAGAGCCGCTTCTCTGTTGCATCTTCATTAAGGCATGATCCAAAGGTCCAGTGACAAGTCCTGGTTTCAATGGGCTTCAGACCAGACTCCATATCCTAGCTACGCTTTTTGTAAAGTAAAGAAGATAAGTTTCAAAATAGCATGATAAAATGATACAGAAGCCCCTCTGTGGTCTCTAATGATCCTGATTGTGTAGGGGTGCTACTGATTGCCTCATCCAATGCACTGGCAGGCAGATTCTTAGCTAGGATTGCCAACTCTCCAGGACTGCTAATCATTAATTAAAGATTAGGTCATGTGATGAAACCTCCAGGAATATGTCCAACCAAAACTGGCAATCGTATCCTTAGCTGGTGTAAGTTGTAAAAGCTCCATTGAAATCAATGGAGCTATGACGGTTTCCTGCAGCTGAGGATCTGCCACCATGTACCTTCAACTTTTTACTGAAGTCAATAAGAAATTGTGGGTGCTCGGCCCCCTACAGGAAACCCTCAGCAGAACTGGGTCATAACTCTATTACTCAGTAAAAGTTAAGCACTTGTTCTAACACTCACGGTAATGTGGCCTTCACAAGATAATATGATGGGAGAGACTTTATGCATAAAACTATAAAAGGGATAACCAGTTTGAGGCAAACAGGCCTACTTCTCTGAGTTATTTATGCTTTGTATTAACATAGCTGCTGTTAAACTAGGAAAGATGGTTTTCACATGCGTTTCTTAAAATTGTGGAAAAACTGACATTTTTGTAAAATGGGGAAATGATTTATTCCATTTAGGGAGGATTAGCAAGGGTATGAGGATTAGATCCCTGGGTGCAGGGCACAGCTAGAGAGCTCAGATTTTTCATTTATGACAGGAAAATCTCAGAACAGTTAGAGGGTCAGTTCAGGTTAAGCAGCCAAAATTGCCAGTGTTTATCCAAACCACTTGAGCCTACAAACTTGGGCTGGAAACCATGTAAGAACAGTCTTTGATTAGATTTTGGCACTCTGACTGCCAAAGGGATGGTCTTGTGGTTGATGCACTGGACTCGGATCCTCAAATTCTGGGATCAAAAACTGTCTATGCCACAGGCTTCTCATGTGACCTGGGGCAAGATATTTAATCTCAGAGGCTCAGTTTCCGACTCTGTAAAATGAGGATCATTTTCCCTACCTCAATGGCAGGTTATGAAGTCAAATATTT